GTCTGTACAATAAAGCTGCCACCAAGAGCCCATAAAAGAAGTCTGACCAATACCATGCCAGCTGTCTACTGGAAACCTTTGGTGACTCCCTGTTGCCCATGAGGAAAAGTTCAATATCCTCACCTGACATCTGAAGACATCTGCGGGCACCATAACTCCAGTCCTGACTATCACAGACACATCAAAATGTTCTACCTACTGCTATAAATCTCACTTATTCACTGGCTTCTACTTACACTTTGGAGCTTCTTGTTATTACACTTTAATTCACATCTTTCTACTCACATAGGCTCCCCCTTCTATATATAACTAGACCTTTTGGGTCTAGTTTACATTTGCGTCCTCTCTACAGCCTTCCTTGACCATCTCTATCTATGAAATTGTTCTCTCTTCGGCTCCTTCCCATAATCACTTGTGAGCAATGTTATGTGGCCATTATTCACATATGGCTTCATCTCCCTTTACAAGGTTCATCCAATTGTGTGGCTGTAAATAAGCTTCTTTCATGTTTTCACTCTGACCCTGAAGCAAACTTTCTGATCTCCAGAAAGCTTATGCTAAGCTACACCTTTGTGTCTTATACCTGGTATACTATTTGGCACCCAGCAGGCGATCAGGAAGTGCTTGTTAAACTGAAGGGATTGTAATGCCCCACATGGATACAGAAATATGTGAAGATGTGTTTTTTTCTTTAGTAATCCAAAACCCATGTTTTGTATACTGCAATACTAACTCCCCCAGAGTTGGATCCTTGTATTGCTATTTGGCCTTTTTTCAGCTGAAGACCTCTCCCACCTCAGCTTCTTCAGGAGATAACTAAGGATGCCACTCACCTACCAAGCCGCCTTCTGTGTCTGTGAGTTTCCTATGCTGCTTCCCCTATGCACAACATCCTTTCCTCATTCTGGAGGAAAATTCAGAGTCAGCACCTCCAGAAAGTCATTTCTTGCTGCCACTTCCTCCTACTATTTCACTGTGTTTTCCACAATGCGTAGTAAACAACTAATTATGGTCTTTTCTTATCCCACTGGTTTATTACATTCAATGGGCAGAGACTGTCTCTGTATTTATCTCTGTATCCACAGGCTCCAGCAGAGTGCCCAGTACAGAATCTATACTTTCTTCTTTGAATGAGTGAATACAAGAATGAATAATGAAATAGAGCCAAAAAAACCAAGCAGGCTTTTATAAATCTGTGAAGTAGCTTGCCATTAGCCCAGTGGAGAATGACACAAAATTATGCTACACAATGGCTACAGAGGCATGTTAATATGAAAAATGTACTTGTACACAATTTACCCCAAATGTTTTCTGCATTTAAGTCCTATCCTCTGAAATTCATTTGCAGTTCTGAAATCCCCTGGGAAAAATGGTTTACGGTAAATAAACTAAAGCAACCTCCACAGGAAAGATAGCGCAGAAGTAATGAAAGGATGAACAGCAACAACCACATTGTAAGGTAAGGGTGTGCACAGAGAAAAGGAATCAAAGTCATAAACTTCTCGGCTGGCCTAGAATTTCCCTCATGGCTGACCAAAGGGGCTCAAGCTATTTGCTTGTCTTTAGGAGAAGACTTTTTAGGACAGCAGAAGAGATCAATCCTCAACTTCATGAAATTTGTTACTACTATTCTCCCTTTTTTTTCCAGATGAGTTCACTGAGGCAGTGAATTTAATGTAGCCAAGATGGCAGACTGGCAGGAGTTCTTTGCCAGAGTTTTTGAGGATGACAGAGTTGGGAAGGGAGAGCTTGACAGGGGTATGACCAGAGGAGGGTCAGCCACAACATCCACTTCTGGACAGAGATAAAACTCCTAGAGCCACCTCAGCTCGTGGTCTCATCAGTGCCCCAAAGGGATTTGATTAAGCCAGGTGGGAAGATTAAAAGGAGGAAAAAAAAGTGTGCAGAAATCACCAGTATGAAGTAAAGGGAGGAGGAGAGGAAAAAGAGTGAAATCAACCATGAAAAAGAAAAAGGGAAATATACCCAGAGACATATAAAGCCTGTCAAATCTCTCCAAACTGCAACAAAAGCATGGGAGAGATAGATTCTCTTTAATGAATGCTTTGATCAGCCACAGTTGATATAATAATTATATAAAACTAGAGCAAGACAAAAATAAGATGTGTTTTTCTCTCACATAGCCTGTAACCTTTGTGATTGGTTCATTTATTTAAGAAAAGAATAAGGCCCTTTAAAATAGAGGCATATGTCAGGAGAGACCCAGTTTTCTCCTCTGACTTATGCAGGAAATTTGCAGCCAAGCCTGCATCCCTTCTCCTCCCTGCCCTGAAAGGGTTGCTCTGCCAACCATGACTCAGAAAGTGAACTAATGGTGGAAGGGTTTTCCTCTCATGTGTCTGGCCCTTATTTCTCAGGCTAATGCTGCCTCTTAATCCACAGTAAAACACTCCCTTGCCTCCCCTGCCCACCCCACGCCTTCCTCCCCATTTCATTGGGCTCTCCCACCAATGTGCACCTGGCTGGGCATTTCTCAAGTCCTATGATACTGTGTGCTGCTGGAGGTATTGACTTGGCTAATCTCCAGGAAGGGAGGCGTAAACATCAGGTTTTTTTAAAAGTGATACTCCCACAAGCACGTGCTCTTTAGAAATAGCAGGGGGAAAAGGTGGTTGCTATGAGAACAGAAATGAACACACAAACAGAAGCAGCATATTTCTGCAAAGGGGACATGGGCAGAGGCTATTCCTTGCTTCTACCACCATCATATCCTCTCTTGAAAGCTTTCTTTCCCGAAAAAGAAGAGAGTCCAAAATAGTGACGGGTTAGTCCTTTCCTCCCAAACTTCCAAATTACAGCTGAAGAGTCTGATTGTTGTACAAATTGTTAGCACTGTAATTCAACAGGGACTGACTGAGTTTGGATCTGAAGAAAAGAGGAGGAAAACCAAGCCTGCTTTTCCAATCAGTATCTTGGGAATGCTTATCTCATGATATATTTGAGCTACAAGCTAATAAAAAGTTGATAATGGCACAAAGCAATATAGCCTCTTGTAACACCCAAGCTGGTTTGGTGATCTGTCAGGTACAATCAGTAGAGATTGGGGTGCATCCAGAAAATGGCATCCCCGTTCATCATTTTGGGCTTACACTGGTCCATCATGAGATATGATGGATATGACAAGACAGCAATAGAAAGAAGAGAAAGGAAGGAAACCATGCATGTGAGGTGGGGTGGAGAGTAGGTTAAACCCAGCAAGCAGACTGCAGCCAGGCTGATGGAACCTAAGACCATATCTTTCTAGCATCAGTTAATTTTTTTAAAAAATCAGGATTTTTTTTTAAAGATCAAGCTCATGGAAGCAAAAAATTCCACCAGCTGTTTGGTAAAATGTATAGAAACAGCTGGTTGATTAACTAGTATTCCGTTTGCAATGAAGGCTTCAGGGAAAGATAGCAGGTTTGCTAGGGTGTCCTGGACCACAGGCTTGTCTATGCGGTGGGACAAGAAAGGCCACAGGGATGCGGCAGAGCTAGAGGCCTCCCCCTTGCCACATGCTGGATGATGATTTATGGGGACTGGAACAATTTGTCTAAAGCTATAATTTTAACTACCTCCGTGCTGAGCAGCCAATCAGTGGGCTTGCACCACGCAGCTTTTACGAGTCCCCATAAAAGCAGCAAAATGAAAACTCAGGGGCCCTTAAAATATACTCCAAGGGTTTCTGCAGTGCAATTGGAGGCTTTTATGACTCCTGTCAGGACTTTTATGACCCCGTAAAACCAGGCAGCAGCCTGGCCTGAGATGAAAAGTGGCCCCACTGTCTTAAAGTCTAAATGGTCTGTACATTTACAAGGCCCCCAGGAAAGATGAGGGACACTGTTGGGGGTAGGGGGATGCCTAAAAAGAGGGCAGGTTGGGGGCAGAAGGAGAGAGGCACTGGATGGGTAGGGAAGGATGCAAGATGGGGATGAGACATCCACAGCATTCTGGCTCTTCACCATTTGAGATCAACAGATGCTAAGATGCTGATGCTATTCACCATGCACAATAGGAGCTGAAGGTAACAGGCCAGGGCAAGAAGGAGCCTTCATTGAAAGATAAAACATGAAGCTGCCAGGGAATCACAGGCTCCAGAGCACTATTTCAAGGACATGTTCCCATTATTATGACACCTGCATTACAGGAAGGGGAAAAAATGAGAGAAAAAAAGGAAAAGAATTGGGACCAGAAACACAGATCATAGCATTAAAATGTCCAATGTAGATCTGTGGAAATGTGTCCATGAAAGCAACAGCACCCTTCACCCAGCCAGAGCCTGTCCTGTGTCTGCAGACTAGTGACCCTCCCTGCTCCCCATTCCCAGGCACAGCAGCTTAGTTGTGAACTCATCAAGGACATGGGTCATCATCACTGAGACAACTTGAGCCTGTGCCTCAGTCGAAAATCTTAAGTCATCCAAATGAATCCAGTTTGAGTGCTCCACATGGAACCTCAATAAGTCAGTGTTGTTGTTCAGAGACCATAGGCAGAGGGACAGGAACAATGCAGTATGGCCATTGCAAGCAGAGGATCACAGAGGAGTGAGCTGCTTCCCAGGCAGGGAAAGGGACAGGAGGAACAGAGGGGCTGGATTTCCCAAGCTAGCCCACTCTGGTCCTCGTGACCCCACAGAGAGAAACTAAGGGAGCAGAAGTAATGGGAGCTCATTTTGGATCTCAAAGAGTCTCCAGGAGATGGAGATATGGATCACTGAGGTACTGAGGATGGAGCATGGCTGCTAATGTTCCAGCAGGGCATCCAGATGCAGCAGGGGCCACAGTGAAGACCACCATGTTCAGAAAGTGGGACCCACTAAGGAATCTGTGTGTCATCCAGGGGAGTGAGAGAGAGAGACATAAAACTGATACATTTGGGTGAGGTACTGTTTTGTGAATTCCCTTTAACAGAAGCAGCTCTCTCTGTCCAGAGGGATGGGTGTGACAGAGCAAGGAAGGAGACTATGTCACAAAGCATGGTCCTGAGAGACCTGGCCAAATGAAGCATACAGCAGCCAGCCGAGTAGATCTCAGGATCATAGCAACAACACAATCCACAATTATTCCTCTTCAGCCATGCATGTCTCCAGGAGCCTTGAAGGGTGGGGAGCACAAATGTGAAGATGACAAGACCCGGCTGAAAATCCCACGACACTATCAGGTATGACTGGGCACGTCCTTTACCTCTGTAACCCTCTCTTTCCTTATCCACAAAGTGGGGATAAAATATCTGCCACACGTGGACACTCTAAGAATGAAAACACATAAGGTATATACAGCAAGGTTTGAGTAGTATTTTAATGAACAAACAGAATTTTTGCCATTTCCCAAAGAACAGGTCTGAAATTTCTGGTAGGAAAAAACCAGTGCAGTAGCATCAGGTATAAAGCAACCATGTTGTAGAGACAGTGAGACATCTGCTGTATCTAGAACATCAGTCCCTGTAGGGAAGGTTTACATTTTTAAGTTACACATTTTAAAATTATAGTTGTACATATGTATTGGGTATACAGCGATATTATGATTTTAATACAACGTGAAATGATCAAATCAAGCCACCAACTCACCCATCACCTCACACATCCGACCCCTTCCATGACAAGAATATTCCAGATTCACCCTCTCATGAATACTGGAATGAACAGAACTCAACTATGAGTGACATTCACCACCACGCAGACAGAAACAGTAATCACTCATTCTCCGTACCTAATGAGCCTTTGCACTCTCTAGTTACCATCTCCGCACCCTTCTGCCACCTGTTCTCTGGTAACCACTAGTCCACTCTCTGCTTCCTGAAGTTCAATTATTTTAGATTCTATTCAGAAGTGTCTTCCTGAGTTTTCTAATTTTGCTCAATGTAACGTTGCCTAATTCAATCCCGGCTGTGGTAAATAATTAAATTTCCTCCTTTTGTAGGATTGAGTAATACTCCACTGTGTATATATTCCAATTTCCTTTATCCACTCATCAGTTGATGAGCACTTAGGGGCGACTCTTTAACTTGGCTGTCGTGAATAGTGCTGCCACAAACATGGGAATTCAAACATCTCTTCAGGGTACTTAGTTAAGATCTTTGGGATAAATATTCATAAGTATGTTTGCCGAGTATTACGACAAATTTTATATTTAGTTATTTGAGAACCTTCCATTCTGTTTTCCATAATGACTATACTAATTTACATTCCCACCAGCAGTGTCCAAAAGCCTCATCTTCTCCACATGAAAATGTCTGGACACTGATTCCCTTACTCAGGCAATGTTCCGAGTGTCAGGTACAGTGTGGTGGGCGCAGGGGACAGGAGGGTGACCCAGCTTTGGCTAGACTCTTTGCCTGACTCTTGGCCTCCTTTAATCCATTCTCCTCGTGACGTGCAGAGTCCTCTTAAAATGTCCCACCTCACTGCTCCTTAAAACTCTTACAGTATTCCTGACAACTCACAAGCACAGTGCCTGTGGTGGTCCTCGCAGGCTGGCAGAATCTGCCTGCGGCACAGCACCAGGCTCCCTCACCTCTCCGCTCTGCCCTTCTGCCCAACATCCTCCAGCCAGGTGGGCTGCGCCTTGGCCACGTCACATTTCTTTTTCACTCAGAATCTCAGTATGGGCCATTCTCCCCTCTCCAACTCTGGCTGACTCTGAATAGCTTCCCAGGACCAGCTTCCGTTAAGAAGGCTCTTATTTGCCTATGCCAACCTGCCACCGCACTAACCAGCAGTCATGAGAACAGGAAAGCCATGACAGCAGAAGGCCTGTGGAACCCCATATTTGTCCCATTGCTGGACAATAGTACAAAAATAAAATTCTGTGAAATAATGTCAAGCAGACCTAGACCGGAGAAAGATTCATAAGGTGCTGCATGACCCACTAAGTGTTTAGCTGGTAATCCATACTCAACATGGAGCTACTGACAACTGAAGAAGGGTACTGGCTTCAAGAGGTGGAAATGCCAGTATGACTAGGAGGATGCATTAGAGGATGGGAGAATCTGAGGCAGAAACCTGGCTAGCTTCAGAAGCGCAGGTGAGAAGTGACAAGTGTCAGAAACATCACAATGGCAGCATGCATACTGATGGTAATAAAAGGCATTCAAAATTAAACCCAGAACACAGGAGGAAACAAGGAAGTGGGGTCTGAGGTGGCCCTAGAGCATCTGGCCAGGAGCCAGGGGCCAGTTGCCAGGTACTAAGGGGATAAACAGGTTTAGTGTGGGATTCAGGATGTGCATATGGACCTACAGCCTCATCCAATAGGAAGTATGGGAGACACACAGGGAGAAATGTCCAATAGACAGCTGGAAAAATATATCTAGTGTCTAGAAAAGGCCAGCAACATAAATTGAGGAGTTAGTGGCCCAAAGGCCAGAATCACTGAAGTGGGATAAAATAGTCCTCAATGCCTGTACAGAGTCAAAAGAGACTGGTGGGTTTATGATAAAACCCTGAAAAATATGAGTGTTTAAGGAAACACAGAGACAGGAGTTGTTTTTCTCAGCACACTCCTTGCTGCTAATACACACACCTGCACTGGATGGTCTGCCTCTGGGCACTTCCTGAAGACACCACTCATTTTTACACCAACATGTATTTGGTGTTGATTTAGAAAATATTTATTGACTACATACTTGGCTAAAGAGTTAGATATCATTCCTGTGGGCTGCTTTAATGCTTTATTTATATGTCTATTGGAGTTTATGGCTTTCGCCTATCATCTTTTCACAGCCACCCCACCTTGGCTGAAGAAGACATGTCCCAAGACCCCCAGTGAATGCTTCAAACCACAGGTAGCGCTGAACCCTGCATACTATGTTGTTCTTTATACATGCATATCTATGGTAAAATTTAATTCATAAATTAGGCATAGTAAGAGATTGATGGTAATAACTAAAAATAAAATCCAAAATTATAACACCACCATTATCTTCCTGTAGATTTTGAGCTCCCAGAAATTATGTGTGTCAGGATTCCCAGCCCCACTCACAGAATGCTTACTCACTGAATGCAGAGTGAAACTTGCCATTAAGGTGAGGAGGTCAGATATATGGAAATGATAACAAAGAATAAAATTTTTCTTCGAGATTACCATTTAATCATTGCTATTCAAATCCAGTGAGTTTTCTTGACCCTGATGTTTCATACCACTGGCTGTCTTTAGCCTCTCTACCTTTAAGGGCACTAGACTCCCTTACTGTTTTTTAATGTTGCTATTTCTGTATCATCTTTATGGGTTGCTCTTTCTGAATCCTCTCATTCCCCTTTAATTTTTTTTTATGTCTCTAAAAGTTACAGACTTCTTGTCTTTGTCTTTAATTATATCTACCCTAGGAAATCCACACATACATGTCTTCATCTATCATTTGAAAACAATGATTACAAAAGCATTATCTTTAGCCCAGAATGCCCATATCTCCAACTGCTTCTGGGATTTGCACAAGTGGAAGCCCTGTAGGCATTTCAAACACAAGATGTCAAAACTCTGCTTATCATCTTCCTCTGCAAACTCCGTTTCTCTTCCTCTGTCAACTAATTACTCCATTATTCAGGCCAAAAGTATGGAAGTTGTTCTAGATGCATTTCTTGTCCTGTGCTGGCTGTAATTGAGACAACAAACTGCCGGTTCTACTCTCTAAATATGTGTGATCTCTATTTGCATAACTCCTGCCTCAGATTAAACCTTGGGTCCCTCCTGAATGAATATGCTATACCTCTAACAAATCACTTCATATGAAATATATAATATAATTTCAACAGGTTTTCTTTCGTGAACAACAGATTTTTTCAGTTTCCATACAAGTATCCACAATTGTTCAGGTTAATAAACATGGACATCAGTGAGTCATGAATTTTACTTCACTCTAACATGTGTGCCGCCCCCCAGCCATCCCCACGTCTGCCACACTTCGTGACTTGTCATGACCACTGGCATCTGCTGCTTCCTGCCTGTCTACCTGTGGGCACGTCACCACCTATCATGTCCAGGATGCCCTTTCCACTTTCTTTTCCTGGGTCATTGATCTGCTCATCCATATACATTCATTTCAATTTCTGCCTCCTTTAGAACCTTTACTAGGGCTTTTAAGTTTACAAAATGTATTTTCCTGCTGTGTCCTAAAGCAGCTTGTTTATAGCTGATGTGGCTTTTGTCACAGGGCATTCAATCTATTGACTGCCCCCTCTGTTTCCCCCACTGAATCTCAAGATAAAGATAAAGGGCTATGCTTTTCCCTTTGGTTCTCAATCAACTAGCTCAATGCTGAGCACATAGAATGAACTCATGAACATCTGTGAAATAAAAACCAAAATAATTATTTAATTAATCACCTATTGATACTAATTAATCAAAACATATCAAAGGAAGAAAAGGACAGAAAAAACAGCTGTCTGTGGCCTATGATTCAATCTCAGACTTCCAGATAAGACCCTCTTATTATGGAACTACTTTTGTCAACTATACAACATAGTAGAGAGATTCTTTTCTTTTCTTTTGTATTTTTTTTTTCTGTTTTAGGGAGAAGAAAGCAGGTCCAATGGGAATAGCCTCACTTAACCACTTAACAGTTTACCCGAAGCGTCACTCTAGCAAAGCATTTGTTTACGTACTATCTCAATTATTGCTTGCACAGGTGTCATTTCAACCAGTCGATTATTGTACTGAATATATTTGACAAAATTGATATTTTTACATTTCCTGTTATATTGTCTTGTACAAATAAATGAAAAATAGGAAATTTTTGGTCATCCAGTATTTAAATAGTTGGCCTGGTAAGTGGCTAACTCCCACTTCCAAAGCATCTGCCCAAGATGCTTTAATGTAGGTCTTCAGGAGGAACACCTCAGTAGCTGGAAGGATGTTATATCTCCTTTATATGTACACCATACTCTTAAATGTACAGCAAACATGAACTGAACTGTATGAGTCATCTAAATACCCATGTAGTATGCTGCATTGGTTTTCCTGAACTTAATGTTCTTATTTCAGGTTAGAGACTATGTATATTGCATATATGGAATGTGATTTACTAGGACTGATTTCATAGTCCATTCACTAAATTCAGACTAAGATTAAAAAGAAATACATTTTCTTCTTTCTTTCTTTTCTTTCATTTCCTTCTTTATCACTTCTTTCCTTTTCTCACTGTTCCTCTCATTCTTTTTTTTTTTTTAAGAATAAAGCAAGAATGTGGAAAATAGTTTATAGAACTTAGTCCCGGCTTCACAGGAGATGAAAATGTGATCCTTTGCTAGCTCAGAAAAAATCCTCCATGCTACATTAGGCTTGATAGCAAATTTTGTACTTGCAAGCTTTTATCAAAACGGTACATCTGAAATCTTAATAACACAGTAAGGTGGATTATGTTTCTCCACTCTGTTTAGGTTTACATCAACAGAATCAGAACTAATTCCTGATTTGAAACTCAGCAGCTTTAGCAGGATCTATAAGAACATTTTATAAAGGTCCGGTAGAAAACCAAAGGAACCTGATTTTACATACACACACACACACACACACACACACACACACACACACACACACACACGAATCCTAATGCTAAAAATAAAGATCATCTCCATGGACAATAAAACCACCTTAAATGTTCAGTACTGATCACCTTAAAAATATAAAAATATAAATACATAATTTTTTAAAACTTTTGCAGCATCCTATACCCAAAGCATTTTCACGCTTCATTTCAGTTTCCACTATGATAAGACAACATGAAGCATGACCATATTACGAAAAGTGCCACTTTTAAGGTTAGGGTCAGGAAGAATGTCAGCTTTATACTTCAATTCAAATCTACAATTTCCCATTTATCATCTATGAGATTTGAAAATGTATTGTAAAAGTGTTTTTTGTTTGTTTGTTTGTTTTGTTTTTTTTTAACCTTTATGGGTTTTGCCCTTAAAATATAGTGAACAAAATCTATTCTCTTAAATTTACTGGTTGCTTTTTAGGGTATGATTGATTTCTCTACCCCATATTTCAACATTCTAGTGATATATAATAATAATACAAAGTTTTTTATATTTTATTGCTCCAAATACCTGCATCTTCTCTCTTGGAAAGCACTATTCACCCCCTAACATCTGTTCTTGCCATCTGGTTTGCCTTGGCTAAGGAAAAAGGAACAGAGATACCATGCATTACTACAAAATGGAGCCTACAATAATTCACGTGTTTCAGCCAATCTTTCCCTCGGGAGCAAGACTGCATGTTCCAAATAAAACCAACTCCTTCAGGCTTTGGTCCAGGGACTAAGTGAATATGTACATGCATGTGTCCACATGTGTACATGAACAAGCACACACACAGAGCCCACCTTTTCATTGCAAGCCATGGAAGTACCAGGAGTTGCAGCAGAACTTAGCCAAAGAACTGCATCAGAACTTGGCCAAAGCTGACTGATAGACCTTAGAGCCTGTTGATAGATTTTTCACTTAAACATCCTATGAGAGCAACTGATACTTCCTTTGGATAACTTACTAAAACCCATGGTTACACTAACATTTAATATATTTAATCTGTTCTCCTCCCATTTGTCAAATGGATAATTATCAAGAATCAATTTCTTTTATACCATGTATAATTCTTATTGCAATATCATATTGTAATTCTATGCTAAGTAAATCAAACACTATGAAACAATATAAGAACAAACTATGAAATAAGCTACTGTTGATTTTTGTAAAAATGGTTACATATACATGAAAACATGCATTGACATATCAGTTGATATGTTAGTTGGTATTATTTTTGTTAATTAGTACATTTTTTATCAGTTTTTCTTGTTAAGACATCATGTTTGGGATAATATAATACAATCACAGAAAACTATACTTAAAGGTCTTGCAGCCCATACTATTTTAAGAGAATCATCAGTAGTTTACTTAACATATCTCAGTGATTGACTATAGTATCAATAACTCTACTGTACCAATTAAAACAAAGTGAAAGATAGTCCAGAAGGGAAATATTTGCAGAATCAGAAAGAGTTTTCTATTTCATTTGGTGCTAAGATATCTTGGTCTATTTACTCATTCCAAAATAACAGGCTCACTGTTATACATTTAAGATAAGGAAGTACAATGCTAATGCTTGGGCATTATCTAATGCTTACTCAAGTGCGTGGTCTTGTTAGAATCCTCTTGTCATAGTCTCTTTTTTTTTTTTTTTCCTTTGGAAGCTTGGCTGCCTAATTGGCTCTACTGGCAATCAATTCATCAGACTCAGAAAACTGTCAAAATGAAGGCACTACCCATGGAGCCACACATATCAATTTCTCTAGAGAACACTTGTCTAACTGAATGTGGCATTGTTCATTTTCCTGACTTAGGGAGAAAATTTAATTCAGGCAAAAGAGGTGATGACAAAACCCATAAACCTACCTCATCGTGTCCACAACCATCATTTATAGGGAATACTTAGAAAACCACTGTCACTCAATATGCCACCGGGGCACAAAGAATAGCTCAATTTTTATGTACAAATCCCATTTCAAGATAGAGGAAAGGAGAGAGCCCAGTGCATTATCCCCTGTATGGTCAGCTATTTCCAAGTAAGAACCTAGGTTACTGGGGACAGAGGAGTACAGCTGGATAACCACCTCAAAGGGTCGGTACAAAGTGAGCTCATAAAAAGGCTAACTTCTTATGAGACAAAAGCCATCTAGTGAAATACAAGTGTTATTGTTTGAATGATATTCTACACTCAAAAGTCATATATTAGAACCTCTAACTAAGGTACTAGTGCTAGGAAGTGGGCTTTGAGGATGCGATGAGGTCA